AAGAAAGTGAAGACAACAATCTATGACAGCCGAATTGGAGCATAGAAAATAAAAAAATTAGCTGCATTCACAGAAGCAAACAAGAACGTGAAAAGGAGCATCAGAGCTTATAAGCAAATGTATTTGGGAGATCTAGAAATGATAGCAGCATAAGCTGAAAGAGAAGGGAACACGAGAAAGTTAAGTGATACAACGAAAAAGCCCTTCGGAAAATATTCGAAAAAGTGGACCAAAAAGAAAAAGGAAGGCAAAGCTATCACATTGAAGAATGGCTAACACAGGTGAGTAGAGCAGTTTGAGCAACTCTTGTGATCGCCAGCCGAAGTAAACCCATCCAATATCGAAGCTGCAACCATGGGTCTCCCAGTTGATGTTCACTTTTCAACCACTGAAGAATCAACATGGCCATCGGAAAAATCAAGTGTGATAAAGCGGCAGGAACAGACAACCTTACAGCTGAGGCATCAAAAGCGGTAGTAGGAGTAACTGCAAAGATACTGAACGTTCGATTCGGAAGGATTTCCATTAAAGAATAAATACCAACAAACAAGAAGAAAGAGTGTTGCATCAAGAAATAAATAAAGGGAGTTCCCACACTTAGTGAGAACTGCAGAAGCAAAACTCTACTAGTAATACCAGGAAAAGTTTTCAATAGAGTGTTGTTGGACAGAAAAAAAGATTCAGTAGACGCCCAACTCTGAGATTAAGAGACTGGACTCCGTAGGGATCGATCGCGTACCGACCGAATCGCATAGACACTAGTGGAACGATCAATTTAATGGAACTCATCACTCTACGTCAACTTAATTGACTACGAGAAAGCATTTGATAGCGTGGACAGAACAAAAATATGGAGGCTTCATCGACACTACGGTGTGCCTGAGAATATAGTCAACATTATACGGAATTCTTACGATGGACTACACCACATAATTGTTCATGGAGGACAACTCACAGACCCGTTAGATGTTGTAGTGGAACGCTTCTACGAAGAAAATAAAATTTGTAAAAAATAAACACTATTGCTCTCGTTTTGTTTAACTGTACCAAAAACACTTCTACTACTTCTTGCGCGCAAAGTTCGCTTCGCGTTGCTGCCATTTTTCTCTGTTTGCTTTTCCAGATGTAATGCCTAATTTCTCCTTCAATAAAACCTTGGAACATGGATTTGTTTTGATTTTAATGACGGGACCGTACGGAACTTTTAGTGGTGATCATAGTCAATATGGTATCTTGACTCGCTCACTACAATGTGAAGACCGGTGTCAGGCGAGGTTACTTACTCCCACGCTTACTCTTCCTCTCAGTGGTCGACTGGACTATGAAGACGTCAACATCTGGAGGGAAGCACGTGATACAGTGGACCTGTCGGATGTAGCTAAACGATCTGGACTTTGCAGATGATCTGGTTATTCTATCCCACACGCAACAACAAATGAAGAAAAAAACGTCTACTGTACCACCAGCCTCTACAGCAGCACGTCTTGACATACACAAAGGGAAAAGTAAGAGTCTCCGATACACCACAACAAGCATCAACGAAACAACACTTGATCAGGAAGCTTTGAGAAATGTAGAAACTTTTACCTACCTTGAATTCACCATCGATAAACAAGGTCGATGTGAAGATACGGATTGTTAATCCAAGGGCAGTATTTCTACGGTCGAAGAACATCTAGAGTTCAAAGCAACCGTTAACCAACATCAAAGTCACAACTTTCGATACGAATGTCAAAGCCGTTCTATTGCATGAAGCGGAAACTCGGAGACCTATAAAAGCCATCATCAAAAATGTACGATGTTTACTAGCAGCTGTTTACAAAAGATAATAAGGATCCGTTTGTTAAACACCATCAGAAACAACTTACTCTGGAAAGAGATAAACCGGAAAACCGGTTCACCAGACATGGATGTTTGAGCCACGGTACTATGAACACGTCTATGTTGGAATTGGATACGGGTCTCACGCGTTATCACAGATCTTTTATAGGAAGGAAGAAGACGGAACAGACCAGATGAAACAGGTGTATTTGCTGACGATTTCGTGGTATCGAGGACATGCCGAAACGTCTCAGAGAAATGAGCAAAGATACAGAGCAGCAAAGCAAGATGGAAACCGAAAGGAGAAGAAGCAATGTGAGAGTAGTGTTATGTCAGCATACGTACAAAACGAACAAAGGTCACTGCGTAAAGCAAATTACGAATAAATAAATGTTCTATAATACGTCCACCGGTCCAATTGATTACAGTAATGAGTGCCGTTATTTAACTAATCATGTTTTTCTTCGTAACAGCAAAATAACTGTAACACACTGTGGAAAGCGCCCAAATGCATCGCAGAACAAACCATAACTTGGAGTCCTCAAGGCAAACGGAAAGGAGGAAAACCAAATACATTACGCCAAGGATTGAGAGCAGGCATGAAAAGAATGAACAGCAGTTCGGTAGAACTGGAAAGGAAGTCTTAGGACAGAGTATGTTATAAAATGCTGGAAGACGGCCCACTGGGGGTTCACAAGCGTAGGTAAGTAATATACATATACAAAAACGAATGAGTCACCGAATTATTTAAGGGACTAACATTAAGGCTGGTAGGATGAATATGTGCGCAGGCGGTAAGCAATACTCAAACAGACATGTTCATACAAGCGCAATAATAAAAATGCAATCGTTGTTGATGTGATAATGAGGCTATCTGTCAAATAATGGCTTAACCAAATCAAACGCTAACAAACTCAAATGTAGGCGAGTTGCTATAGGCTGTACAAATCACGTAGAATAACGATAAAATCCACTCAAAATCTAGGTCTAAATTAAAATCTCCACGATATTAACGAAACCATTTTTTGGAACATTGTTTGCTAAAGAAGTAAGTGAGTAGTTTTAATGCATACATAGAAACGCCATCATTATGTCCGTGAAAATGTTCATTAGGGTGAAAATACAGATCCATTGTACATCTGAAGATAAACTGTGCAAATAAAGAAATGGGAGACATGCTTTTTATCTAAGTTTCTTTGTATATAAGATCCAGTGTCCCGTGTAGCCCCGTTTTGACTGATAAAAACATCACATTCAAAGGTACAATGGAATTTATCTCAACTACTAAACCTCCCATTTTGTTGACAAACTCAGAAGTCCTTAATACTATGCTTGGTGACTTCCAATGCAATTGCTTTAGAATTTGTACCAAGCATTTTGTTGTTTCATGGCCGGTGGGATCAATCATAACAAATATAAACTTCTTTTCTTTGTGATCGAAATTAAAAGTGACTGACTTTCATCTCGTCCCCCTCGAATACCTGCGATATTCCTATTTTCGTCTTTAAATAATTATTTGACTGTTTAGTAACAATTCCCCATCGCCATAGTCCTGCGTATTCTAATTCATCTAATTTTTAAAGAACACCTTTAAGCATTAGCTGATTCGTCCAGTTTATTTTTAAACTTTACTAGTCATTTTTAATTAGTGTCAAGCTCATGAATATGTAGTCCAAACTATTTATACAAACTCCACTGTGTTGTATTCTTGCCAATATTTTCTTATTAAGTCATAGCCATCATCTCCACCTAATGTCAAGACGAAATTTACTCACAGTAAGCAAAATGTGATGCATCTAGGGGTTTATCACTTTCATACTCGACACTTCTCGTTGCATGAGTTATAAAACCACGTGAGTAAACATGAAGTGAGCATTTACTTGATAATATATTCCGATAAACATGTCATTTACATTACAGTATGTGACAAAATGATACGATTATATGTTTCAGAGTAACATTTGTTTATAACACCTAGGATCGGTTTGAAAGTTGTGATAATAATGGTAAAATCATAATAATAGTAATACGTAAAACATGTTTAGTGACCCGAGATCTGACTCGGGTTTGGAAGAATGATCGAGTATCTGATGAAATGAATCTTCCCCTTATTTCCTCATACCATACTCAAGCGGACTCCGTTTTTGCGATGGCAGTAATAAGAAGCCAAATACTGTTCTGTGGATTAACTTATTTCATGCCATCATCCACGCTGAAAGATATGAGAATACTAAGCTTACAGGCATGGCGAAGGGAAGTGGAGAGGCCGAGCGAGCCAACTCCATGAGATGAGTATTTATAGTCAGACAAAAATAAAGTGAACATATGCTAAGCGAAATAAGCATGCACACTCAAACAAAAACGACCAGGGTGACAAGTGAATAATTGACAAGGTCGAAAGATGTGAATCATAACTTGAGAAGAATGGACTGATCAAATTGTCCAAAGGCTGGGACAAGCCCTATCAGAACGGCATATTAGTAAACACTACACAGAGTCAGATGCAACGTAGAACTTCGTACGTAAGTACATCAGTTCATGTTGCCATACCACATCAAAACACTACACACGGTATTCCCCAAACTAATAGATCCCATAGGATTTTATTGTACCTAGCATTCACAATTATTATTGGAGTTACTACTGGAATCTAACGATCTACGGTGTCATATTAAAGCTGTTGTTTACAATATGTGAAATCATTATGATGAAAATGTACGTAATCTACCTTTAAGTAATTTGCCAAATGTCAATGAACTTAGTTCATTGGTTTGATATATCGAAAAATAGTTTCAGCTAACAAGTACTGCTTAGTATAGATGTCAAAACGAAGACATACGTAAGTATTCAGTTTGCTAACAAGATTACATGCAAAAACTTGTACTCCTACTATACGGAAATGGATATTTCCATGTAGGTATTCCATATCACCGAAGTATTCTCGAGACTTACTTAATAATGGAGTACAAAATAAGAGCTTGAAATACTTGCAATGACTAGTATGCAATTATATTTTACCTTACAAGAAGCGATATGTTGTTTAGATTCACTCAGACGTATACGACCTAAAGTAGAGTCACAAGAAAAACAGACAGACACTGATTTATTAGATTATTACACATAGATTACTTGTTGGTGTGTGTTCGGGATATTCAAATGCGCTTTTTTATTGAAGTTAATTATTCGTAAACAACAAACACTGCTTTTGTTAGTTTGTCTAATTTGGATAAAAACGGCTTATCATAGAAGCTAATACAATAAAAGTTTGAAATTATTTAATAGAAGACTATGGGCTACATTTCATACTTTATTAAGCTTACCATAGAATTAATGTTCCAAAGCTGACTGAAACTGATATCACCCAATCAACGATAAGGAGGTACTAATATTACCAATATGCTAAAGTCAGTATATTAAGAAAATAAACAAATATTTTGAGCAAAATTATGTTCGTGAAGGTTTAAATGCACTATCATTATGAAAGGAGGGGAATTCTTACAATAATCTCAGTCATTATTACATTATCATTTTGATAAAAATAAAAACCGAATTACGGAATTAAGGAGAAACGGGAAAATAAGAGAACTGCAATACGAAAAAAGATGTGAGTAAAGAAAAATAACGACTCTTGGAACATCAAAATATGAAATATTGTTATATTATTTTGATTAACAAACACGTTGAAAAATCAATTCCACGAGGAAAGTAAATAAATCCCTAGGATCAAAAGAAAAATGACTATCATACATAAACTTTTGAATGTTTGTCATAATCTCTGACTTCGTTTGCTCTTCGTATAAACGAAACTTTTCTGGTAATTTAATTGTATTATATAAATTGCGAATTGTCTGTTGTGATTCAAGATCACATTTACCATAATTTGTCTAGAATTTTTAAAAAACAGGTAAATAGAATGATTAAATAACAAAATTCTGACCATCAACAAAATAAAACAATTTCAGTCTTGTCATACAATTGTATAAACCATAACGATAATAATAAACCAGGTATTTGGTCAAATCTTTACAAGTGTACAACTGGTGGCATATATTAGTCTTGGATACTTTCAGTGAAATCAGGTGTCATAATTTCTAATCGAAATCCCCATTAGTTCACCTATATTGCCAAAGGAACACATGACTTACCACGCACCGCTCCACACACTAACAAATGAACAACCCCCAAGACTTGAATGTTTATTGCCCCTTGAGTTTTTTTCTAGCCCAGTAACCGATCTAGAGACGCATACAGGAAGTAAACTAATTATCTATTGTGCTCAATTCAATCGTGACTCAATACTTGTACAATAATATGCTTGAAATTTAGGACCATACAATACATCACATAAGAAGCCATGTGTTTTGAATAATCATGCCGTAGAGAGTAAAACAAACAGTACAAATCGGTTAACAATAATTAAAGAATAGTAGAACGCATAAAAATGGTTAGTAGGTCGATTAGGAGCTTACAATAAGCAAAATATACAAATATAACAATAAAAATATCAACAATAATTCAAAAGGTAGTTCAGAAAGTTCCAACTTTTCCAATATTGATACCGCTGAAATATACGAATATAAAAATAAATCAACTAGTGGACAGATTTTTATCATTTTAATTCAAAAAGTAGGGATGGGTTATAGTTTTCTTGTTCCACGTACACAAAAAAACTTATGACAAACTAGAAACATACAATTTAGGTATTCAATACGAAGTGAGTGATTACGTTAAAAGTATATTCATCCATGAATATGAATAGAATAACGATAAATTCACAATATTCAACAATACACTGTAAAGTATAAAAAGATCTCTAGTTATAGTTCCTTCAAGTGATAAAATAGCGTGGATTGGATGTTGCAAGATGAAAATGCTAGCTAGATAGTAAGAGTATTCTAAAGCATAACAATACAAGGATTTCATTCAGCCTATTATTAGCTTATGGGGGGGGGTGATAACTGGGGAATGAAAATATTTTTAGCGTACAAAATTACAACACAATACATTTTAATACATAAACTACAGGGAAGACCAACATTTTGAAGAGAAAGTAAAAAAAAGTAGCTAGTTAAGCAACTTAAGTTATTTTTGTAAAATTTGACTGGAAGCCTGGCACATAATAATTTTGAATTGACTAAGTGTATAGTTTTATCAAATGGTTTTAATATATAAAACTACTATTTCAGAATTAAATAAAACAACTGATAAAATTTTACTCATCAAAATATAAACGAATCAAGGGAATAGCTGGAACAAAACTACATGTCAGTAAAATATCGTACCCAGTCTTGTTGCTTCAAGACTGTGTTGCATCGGCACCTGAACTAGTGATAGGGAGTGAAGTAGTTGAGCGTGTTGACCGCTTCACTTATCTTGGGAGTCTCATCAGTGCTGATGAACTGGTGACTGACGAAATCTCAGCTCGGATACAGAAGGCTCGATTAGCTTTTGCCAACCTGCGTCACTTATGGCGTAGGCGAGATATCCGTCTGCTAACCAAAAGACGAGTGTACAGCACGACAGTTCGCTCCGTTCTTCCTCATGGCTGTGAAACATGGCCAGTCAGAGTAGAAGATATTCATAGGTTACTGGTTTTCGATCATAGGTGTCTTCGAAGCATCGCTCGGATATCCTGGGACACCCGCGTGAGCAATGCTGTTATTAGGAGACGGGTGCTAGGTAAGAATGGCAGATCAATAGATGAAGTAGTGAAGCTTCATCAGTTGAGGTGGTTGAGACATGTGTTACGTATGCCTAAACACCGACTGCCATGACGAGCTTTGTTTTGCAGTGTAGGAGTAGATTGGAAGAAAGTTAGGGGCGGCCAAACCAAAACATGGCAGAAATCCATGAAGTCATTGACGAGTGGACTTAGCCATGTCGGTAGATGTAGGCTATCTGGTTGGGGTCCGCGAGACGCTAGTCACCGATGGTTAGAGACTTCGAATGACATGGCTCAAAATCGTTCGCAATGGAGCCGGTGCATTTATTCTCTGTGTTCTCTCAAATCCTAATCTACTGAATTCTTCAACACCTCTAGTTTTGACGTTCTAAACTTTTCTCACTGAATCATATTTCTTGAATAATATCTTCTAATCCTAACCTCTCCGATTACTTCTGATACCTTTACTACCTCTTCTACTATTGGATTTGAATTGACAATTACATCTCTGTGCTGATGTGGTATGGCAACATGAACTGATGTACTTACGTAAGAAGTTCTACGTTGCATCTGACTGACTCTGACTAACTGAAATATCGTACGTACACTTATAGAGTATGTGTTTAGAATGACAGTTCAAGCTCAGTGAGTACATATCAATGTTAAATAATTTAAGGCTTTTTTCAAGATATATGTAACTGTTTCGTACTAAAACACATCAAGTTGCTAAATAATTGTCACTGAAGTTAACGGTAGATCAAAGGCATCTACTTTCAGAAACGGGTGAGAAAAATATAAAAAAATAGACAGACACAAACACTGCTGAGGAATATGTCTTCGCAAGTTTGCGGGGAACGACAGTTTCGATGTATCAAAGTGAAACATATACAAATGTAATGTAAAAGCGCATCTAGTGTTGTAATAAAGCGATTCTAAATAAAGTTATAAAGAAACTATGAAATATTTAATAACCTGGTGATAAACATGAATGTTAATAATGAACAAAGACATTCTAATATCCTTTTACTTAACTTCAAACTAGACAATAAAAAAAAGCGAATAAAAAATGGTGGGATACAACAATCTCAAAAAAAACACAATCTTCATTCATTTGAGAATAAGATAATTTTAAAGTGAATGAAAATTCCTTTTACCTTAAGTGTTTCACATTGTTCAGGTGAAAGGTATTTTAACGCTTCAACAATTAACCATGTACATTTGCCTTCTGCTATATCAGTTCCAACTTTTCCAGTAATTTCACTGTCACCAAAACAATCTAAATAGTCATCCTAATGTGGAATGGCTTTAAAGTATTTTTTATTACCTGAGCTTGGAAGTAATTACCCAATTTAAGAAGGATGTGTTGGACATTCTCGAAAATATCATCTCCGTCAACTTCAGCCTATTTTTAAAGAATAAATTTGAAAGAGAACTGTAAATAAGACAAATGTTATCACTTCTGTGATGGTAACATACAAAACGAGGGACATGAAGTATAAACACCGCTTTTATTCGATTTATTCAAGTTACATAATGAATAAATAAGACAAAATAACATTTTGAAGGTGAAGTTTATGATGAGATTACGCTAGATCAGAAAACTAGATATTCTACTCCCGTGATAAAGAATCAGGATCTCAGTTGTTCACTGTGTATTCAGATACGACAATTGACCGTGAACGCTTTAATAGGTTATGAGACCTGTTAATAGCAGTGATATTATAACCATTTATGATATGGGATCACGGATTCTTATATGCGAATAACATAAAAAGCATAGTCTAATGGTTTGTGCTGATGATGTTGTTCAGAAGAACAATGAAAGCTCCACAACCAAAATATCCAGCTCAGAGAACGAAATACCACCACAGTGGTCAAGTCTTTTAACTCTTAACCAGTATTTTTACCACCCCTCCACCTACTTCAGTTCGGGAAGCTAGATAGAGTTACTAGTCTTTAGACATACAGTGAGGCTCAAAGCCAAGTACGGAAACCTGTGGCTGGCAAATGAATTGCGTTGAATGAATAGAGAATTTAGGGGATGTAGTTCGAAATCAATCTTTGTGGCTTAGGTGTACATTTTTGACGAAGGTCAGATCACATTGATCACAAACAATTATTTTATCAGAACTACAAAAATTTTTTGAAAAAAAACTTTCATCGTTATATACGATATACTACACAAATATTACTACTACGAAAGTTATCGAGTCTAACAGTGGATTTCTAAAGTAAATATGCATTTACCAATTTGAAATTTTCAACAGATAAGGAAAAATAAAACGGAAATAATCAAATTAGCTTACCAAAATCATTCCACATGCTACAGGTAGATAAAAAGTGTAAAAACCAGTCTTCCAGTGTGTTATAGCTTCAAAAACAGTTGGTGAGTAGTTTCGAGTAAAACAATCAAGCTCTAAATTATTCTGTTTTCCATCTAAAATACATTGGTTGTTAGGATTTGATGACAGTATATCCAAACATTGACCAGAACAGGTTTTATAACTGACTTCATCAAACAGTTTGCACAATTTGAGATATACACGATTTTTATTCTTCCATGAATATGAATTAACATTATTTTGATTTTCAGTAAATAGAGAATGAATCAAGAATTTTGATGATAAAATTAGATATAGACCATCATTAATTCCAATTAATCCACGGTTCGAATCTATTTGAGTACAATGCCAACACGGTTGGCCTCGTCGAAGTGTAGAATTGTCAATTATATCATCCAGAACAAGAAATCCCGCGTGTAACTAGTGATTAGGCAAAACAAGAAACTAGGTCACTGGACAAAAAACTGCCAATGTTGACGCGGTTATAGACTCATGAAGAAATGGGGTCCACTGGTCAGTCTTTTGTCGATTTGAGACTGGTTTTTAGTATGGATATGTGACCATTTTAATGGCTGAGTATAGGGCTTCGAACATCCATCATCTCCGTACTAACGTATGACACGTAGTCTGATTCTGATAATTAACATTAAGTATCCTCAATTAGCCTGCAGTACAACTGCATATCCTATGAGGATGTAAGTGATACTGAAGTTCCGGAATTCTATGTTCATTCGCTCAGTAAATAAAATTTCTTATTCAGATATGTGTGGCTCTTTTTAGTGATGTAGTATATCGGAAAGTAATTGTTATGGGTAAACAAAATTCTAATCTAACTGGATCATCTGAAATTGTCTTTCTAAACTTATCTCACTGAATCATACTTCTTGAATAATATCTAGTCACTGTAATATGCTTTAAAGCCTAAAAACTAATAAGTTTGCCAGGAAATTACGGAGCATTTAGTTTAATCCTGTGGGAAAAATTACATAATACCTAACTCTGTCGGTAAATATTAACAATCTGAATTGTTATTTTTTGAGATCTTCCTCGCTAAAACTAGGATATCAAGAGAATTAACTTGAAAAATAAGTAAATTGGAGGCACTGCAATATTTACCAGTTCAATACACCAACCAATAAGGTATACACACGGCAAGTTTTTCCCAGAGTTTTCATTTTTATTGCTGAACACCATATAAGAAAGAACAACTAACACCCCTCGTATTCGCTTACCACTAGATAAATTATAAGATGTTACCTGCAAAAGATGAGATTAAAACAGAGATGATGTAAGAAGACAATGAGAAACAAGAACGCCATTAAAAAAATATTACTTTCTAAAAACTGAGTTGAAGTATAATATACCAAAAAATTGTTATCTATAAGAAATCATGTATGACTTCTTTTTGGGATTTGAAATCTTGGGGAAACGAAGTCAATCTACACTTGCGAAAGCATAAATACGTACCGGAGTAATAATATGAAGTAGTGTTTACTTCAGAAAGAAACCACATACACCTGTTAACTAAACATTGATTAGGTAAGTTGATGAAGTGCTCTTTATTATTGCTCAACAGATGCTTATTAATGCATGCATTATTGAATAAATGCAGTATTTATCATTTCTGCTCTAACATGGCTGGTCAATATTTCTTGCAAAACAAATCTAACTAGACGATATAATCAGCGTCTTTGGTGTATGTAAAATACTATTTATTAATAGTACTGAGTGAAGACACTGGTAAGTAATGAATATTATTCAATTGAAGTAAGTAGCTCTTTTGTTCAGAACTACCTGTTAAGCTAATGAGAAAGCTCATACAATACGAAATCTACTTTAGACATGAATACAAACATCAAAAGTTATTTTCACTTGATAATCTTAAATTATATTCAAGCATTTTAAGCGCTACATACGTTTTTACTGTACAAATCATCACTCAGTTAAGTAACCTGATTTAGAAACAGGGCATCTAACCTTACTTAAGATTTAACTTTTTTCTCACAAGCTAAAAAAGTAGGACTTGTCAAAGTAACATGTTATATGACAGACAGATACAAAGCAGAACTTCGTACATAAGTACATCAGTTCAGGTTGCCATACCACATCAGCACAGAAACGCAACTGTTAGTTCAAATCCAAGAGTGATAGTGATAGTAGAAGTATTAGCGGTAATGGAGATTAGGGAGCGAAGATAAGATTTGAGAAGTATAATTCAGTAAGATAAATTTAGGAGGAGTAAGGTAGAGATTATGAGGAATCCAGAAGGCTAGAATTAAAAAGCACACAAAGAGTGGATGCACCTGCACCATTCCAAACGATTTTGAGCCATGTCATTCAAGGTCTCTAGCCATCGGTGACTAACGTCTCGCGGACCCCAACCAGATAGCCTACATCTACCAACATGACTCAGTCCACCAGTCAGTGACTTCATGGATTTCCGCCATGTTTTGGTTTGGCCGCCCCTAACTTTCTTCCAACCTACTCCTACACTGCAAAACAAAGCTCGTCATGGCAGTCGGTGGTTAGGCATACGTAACACATGTCTCAACCACCTCAACTGATGAAGCTTTACTACTTCATCTATTGATTTGTCATTTACCTAAAACTCGTTTCCTAACGACAGCATTGCTTACTCGGTTGTCCCAGGATACACGAACAATGCTTCGGAGACATCGATGATCGAAGACTCGTAACCTACGAATGTCCTCTACTCTCACTGGCCATGTTTCGCATCCGTAAAGTAGGACGGAGCGAACTACTGCACAGTACACTTGTCCTTTGGTTAGCAAACGGATATCTCGCCTGTGCCATAAATGACACAGGTTGGCAAAAGCTAATCGAGCCTTCTGTATCCGAGCTGAGATTTCGTCAGTCACCAGGCTATCAGCACTGATCAGACTCCCCAGATAAGTGAAGCGGTCAACACGCTCAACTACTTCACTCCCTATCACTAGTTCAGGTGCCAATCCAACCCAATCTTGAAGCAACATTTTGCATTTCGAGGGGAAAAACCGCATCCTGAGCATGCTTGCATTGTTGCTTAGGGTGGTCAGAAGACTCTGCATTTTGTCAGCGTCTTCACCAAGTAGGATTATGTCATCGGCATATTCGAAGTCGATAAGCGAGCGACCTAGTAATAGGTCTACTCCTGAAAATTCAGACGAGGATAAGGTTATTTCTAGGAGCATGTCTATGATAAAATTAAACAAGAATGGAGAGAGTGGACATCCCTGACGGACACCACTTGAAGTAAAGAATTCCGGTGACAGTTCGGCATTAGCTCTCACTCGACCAGTGGTGTTCGAGTAGAGAACTTGTATAGGGTTAATGTACTTCTTTGGTACACCTTTCAATGACAGACACTGCCACAGAACCTCACGATCCACTGAGTCAAATGCCGCCTTAAGGTCTAGGAAAACAACTATTGTAGGACGCCTAAATGTGTGTCTGTGTTCCAGGACCTGTCGTAGTGTGAAGATGTGGTCTATACAGCCGCGTCCAGGTCGAAAACAAGCTTGGTTTTCTCTAGTCTGCTCTTCACGAGCACTAGTAAGGCGTATAAGTATAATCGAGGATAACAATTTAGAAACTATATTAGTTAGACTTATTCCCCTGTGATTGTCACAAGAAGACTTTTGTCCTTTCTTGTAAATTGGAACAATCAGGGATTGAGACCAGTCGGATGCAGTTGTGTCCAGTTCCCAGATTCTACCTGGGATTTCAGTCAATCTAGCTGCTAAAACTGGACCACCATCTTTAAAAATCTCAGGGGTAAGCCTAACAGGACCTGCTGCCCTCCCTTGCTTTAGATTTCCTAACGCTTTCCCAACTTCATAAAGAGTCGGGGAACTTACGTCGATTTGCCATTCAGGATGACTGGAGATCGTGGGTAACCGAAGAGTGGCTCGTGGCCAGTTGAACTGATCCCTAAAGTGTTCTGCCCATCGGCCCAGTCTCCTGGATTGAGAATGAATAATAAGACCATCCTTTTCCGAAATAGTATCACTCACATTTGGGTTCCTAATACCAGTTTCATTGATGAGTCTAAATAGTTGCCTATCGCCGCTTCGTTTTCCATCTCTCTCGCTTTATCCACCCACCAATGTATTCGATCATTGCGTAGGCTTTTTATCAGCCTACGTCTAAGCTGAATCCGCTCCTCATCGTACTCAGAGCCACGCACCATAAAATCCACCTAGGTGTCTTTCATTTTCACTTAGTATACCTACTTGAGCATTAAAGTCACCAGCCATTATTACTAAATCAGAGCGCCTAGCTTTTTGAAAGAGGTCCGGAAGCCTTCTGTAAAACTCATCTTTCACCTCGTTTGAACTGCAATCAGTGGAGGAATAGGCAGATACGACGAAGAGGCAACAACGGGTGCCCCATCTTTCCGAGTCCTCACCGTCCCGTTTAGTCGGACAGCGCACAAGCGACTATCTACCTGAAAAGGAAGGTAGATTAGAGTTGGTCTTAACGACCTGGGAGCGTGACCGCAGAGCCGAAGGGACAACTGCTTGAGGCCGGTCACGCACGGCCTTTGCATGAAGGGTTTTTTGAGCATTAGCTTCGCTCTTGAAAGCCCTTAGTGGGCACCCTTACCGCCGAAGACGGAAATCCGTGAGATAGGGTGAGGTGTGACACTTTTAGGGTCGACCTTTTCTAACCCTTCCTTCCTTGTGAGAAGGCAGCATCGCTGCAGATGCTGGTTGTCCGAAAGAATCACCTTACTGCTGTCACACCTCTCTGCGGTCAGCAGTACGACTTCGCCCTCAGACCTTGAGTAGCTGCTTTTAGTCTCATCGTTCTCCAATCGACCTGCCCGGCAAGGTAGAATCTTCATGAACATAAGTTTCAGCCAATATAGCTCGGTTGGGTCATGACGATAGGCAAGCCCGACCACCACGTCATGGTAGCAGCTTCGGTCGGGAACATGTTAGATGACATGTGATCGAGTGATTTAATTTCTTAGTGATGGACTTGCTGCAAGATAGCTTCTAATAGCCGCATCACTTTTTAATCGTTGGTCGAAACATTAAGAGTATGATGTTGGACTTAGATCACAACAAAGACTAACAAAAACCTCACGCAGGTGTATGGGATCAGTGACAAATTAAAAACTTTGAATCAACAGCGAACTAAAGTTTATTGAAATCTTGATGCATAAAGTGACGATTACATTATCAGAAATCAGTTAAGTACCTAACAAAAGTGCGGAAAATTATTATAAGAAAGATGCATGAAAAGTGTGACTGCTGTTGAGAAGACTCAGTACACAATATTTTTGGTGTTCACTTGATCAAGAACAAAGCACTTTTTGTTATTGTAATTTGGGCAAAAGACCACACAAAAAACAAAATGGTCAAATAATAGTATTATTAGCTGTACATTAAAATTACGTGATGGTATAACGTCGAATAACCTCATGTTTGTCTTGAGAAAGGTTTCTTAGAAAATATGCTTACCCTTAAGACTCAGAAAGGAGCTTTAAAAGAAACTAAATTACCACCCGAAGTTTAAAGTTATATTCCCAAGTGTGCTTGTAACTTATCATTAAGGCATCTTGTATATCTGTTCTTGTGTAAATTTTCCGAAATGTCTCAAATAGTGGTGGACATAATCGGTAATTTCCGGCCCTTCAATAACCTAATTTAAATAAACAAGATAACTTACGATTACAAAATTAAAATAGGCTAAGCTTGTTTGTTCTGTTGCCGAAATAGTAGAAAAGATCTTAGCAAAATAACCAGTAAGAATGAAGGTTGTAGTAAAGCTTAACGTGTTCACAAAACAAGTAAATGGAAAATGACCACTTACATTTTCGAAATGTTTTTTGGCCAATTCAAGACTCTCTGGATGGTTATGATGTAACAGATTGATAAATGTATTGAAGTAATTTTCAAAGTTTTCTTTGACTTCCCGATATTTGATAGTAATATCAGAGGTTAGCATTTCTTGCTTCTATAATTCTATCTAGTCAAAATATTTTGACAATTGGCACCTCAATCAGATCTGGAAAAGAATGAATTACCAACAAAGCGTGACTGAACAAATACTAGACGAAACATGATTTTGTCAGTGAATCTGAACTACGTTACCCAAGTTTAATAGATGCTTCGTTCTAAACGCTTACCAATAATACTGAAGTGAAAGATATTTTTAGTGTTTCAAGGAATACTGTCTTCAAGAATAGAAAGTATAAAAACTGAGTGATATTTTACAGGAACCAGACACTACATTTTTTCTCCATCGATATTCTGAGTGCTTACTAACTGATCGGTATTTAACTAAACTAAAGCTCAAATGTCAACTCCGATTAATTAGGTGCAAAATACCGCTTAATAATGTTTATCTATTTCCAACTCATTCTGATTTGGAAACTGAGTGTGCTCAGTAGAAATTTAACACTTACCGCATAAAACCAGAAATTCTAGGCTAACAGCTTTCATTCAATCTGATGAAAACGAATTCTTATATTACTTTACATATACACTTCAAGTTATTCGAGGACATCACTCATTAGTATAGATAAGTTTTTACATAGAGACCAAAACGATATGGTTGAGTCGAAACCGAGAACAATGCGTGTTTTTCAAAACCCTGGTGTTAACTAAGAGATAGCACAATTGAAGGAGATTTGTGAATGGATCTGTTCTTGGCAGTTAACTGTTAAAAATGGTTGAGTTTTCATAAGCCTGTACAACTGTACTGGCTGATGTGCATTGTAGTTAAAACCATGAATGCCAAACGAAGTAATCTTGCGTATCAGTAAAGTAGTGTTTTAGCTAGGACAAAATATCAGATGAATGTTTTGTAAAATGAAGTGTTTGTAGAGGATGTCCCTGGTTATAGCAATTATTGTAGCATTGACTGCAACTGATGAAAAATCTGCGCACTCGGTTTCTGAATTTAGAAACGCATCTGGCAGAATAAGAGAACTAGGTTTCCGTATAATATAAATCCTCTCCGGGTGAATTCAGAAAGCATTATATTTTCTGCGCCAACAGTCTCAGTACGAATTTCTTTTTTTACTCCACAACTAGACGCAACGAAGTAATGCTGAGCTTATATAGCACCGTAATTTGTGCCGAATCCACACGATGCACAGTTGGCTGAAGTAATCTTATGCCACATATTATTAGTTCCTTTAACTAATGGATGTATTTAAGCATATCCAAACGGTTCAATCCACAGTTCTTAAATAATGGAATTCCCTAATCTCTAAGAATGTGTATATTTTTTGGGACAATTCAAAGAATTGGCTTTATGGGAAATGCGACTAAGAGACCCCAAAATCTTTCCTGACCTAGGAATAACCACGAAATTCCTCCAAAGTCGGGAGATTACGTTTACAACCCATCCACACGAATGTACTTATAAGAGGAATTTATCGATGAACTATACTATTCTTAAGTTAAGACACACTACAGTTAGTGAAAACGTTATGGTAGCTAAATTAAACAGCATACTTAAGAGTACACTAAGAACTAAGTGTCAAGGCGTGCTAACACACCTGTAATTCCCCGATTTGTGATTGGCTGCTTTAGGGCCTTCAAGGTAAGCAGATTAATATTGACTCATTCAAATCCACAGCCATGCTTCAAAGTTCTAAGTCAACATGCAGAAAACTTGATTGACATGCAGCTCAATTTTGACTATCTCTAAAATTCTACCCAACTGATAATTTTTTTATGCCACCATTATGTGCTATGAGTCTTTCGAAATTTATTATTTCGGCTACGTTCTCACAGTGAGACGCTACTAATACATTTGTAAGCAGTAAAAAAACACATTTCACCGCAAGTTCTGGTTCCGAGGTGATACGTATTCACTTTCCACTTAGTCATATAATTCCTTTTTCTTCTGGCTTGTAAATTTGCATCTACTTACCTATAGTTTGTTCTCTTTTTGCCGGAGCAATTAGTCTAAGAGAATAACATTACTAGATACATTCAAGTTCTGTACCTACTGCACGAGATTATTGGCTTGTATAATCTTCAAACATGGGTGAACCTTTCCTCTTCGTTTTCTCTCGGAACCAGTTACACTGAAGAGAAGCTACTCTTTGAATAGAATCTGTTCTTAGTGTGTTCCCATGACTTTCTTCAAGTAATATTTTTGAAGGAATTATTTGTTTCTACTTTTATCAGTCGTAATGTATAAAATTCTGCTTTAAACTTCTTTTTTTTATTTTTGTTTAATTACTCGGTTTTAGGCAGTAATTTAGTTTAACTGAATGGGGATATATAAAATGCAGTCATGCAAGCGTGGTGAGTTAGATGGCATTTTTATGCTCTTTCGGTTTAGATAAGGAATTCCAGAGGAATACTTTCACTCAGATTAGCAATTTACCCCGAAAAAATGTTAGGTTTCCTGTCAAGTCTTTAGCTGCGATGCATCACATGCCTGGAGCCTTATTCTATGTCATTTAATACAAATAAAGTTAGCCACAGTAGTTTGTAGGTAAGGCTGACGTTTTCGAAGGCTGATTTAATATCTTAGGGATATATTTTTCAGTTAGTTCTACTGTATATGAGTACCACACAAAATAATACATCAACCTAAGATCATTCTGCAATATATACTGCTTCTGTCGACTTGGCTGAATAGTCTCGATTAACGAGTGAACGGTAAACTAAACACTTGGCATTAAGAATATGTGGCTACTTTGTTAGGTATATTATTGTTCTTCTAAGGTTTCTGCGAAGACGCATGCTAAATTGTTTTTCTCTCCTTATATAGAATTTTTGTTGATATCGTTTGAAAAGGCAATAGAATTCGCAGCTGTCTAATATGTAGTTGTGTGGTCGAAATACCAAATTTTAGGTCCAGATATTTCAAAAGGCCTTGAGAACATAACAAAAATGTTTGTAATGTTTGACAGATTTATCGTGAAATCCTTGCTTATATTTATTTCGCCAACCGATGCATGGAAGCTGAAAGCCAGACTTCTGCGATGAACAGTTATACAGAGACAAGCTAAAAATTATAAACGAAGAAGTTGAAGATAACTCCGTAATCAACCTACTCATAGTGATGACGAATACTTGTCCTCAATGCAGTCGTCTTGATACAAAAAATGGTATACGAATCGATTAAATAAGATACAATCCAAGATTTAATTGCCTAGATGCGCATAATGTAAATAGTCATAAAAAATGTATTTATTCAGTGACAACACATTGCTAAATATGATCAAACCTACGTAGTGACAACAGTCCCTGGTATAATTTGCCACGTGTTTATGGTTAATGAAAGGATTGGTAAGTTGACCTATTATTCTGAGCCTAAAAGACATTAAAACCTGATGATATTGAGGATTATAATCATATTTAATGCATTTTATCTAAGTTTCGTATTTGTCCCTCAATTTAGAGCCACACTGTAGTATTGTAGTAGTATACGTTCACTAAGAAAACACAACTGTTGAAATACAAACATTGATTATTGTACCTAATTCTGACAATAACCGTTATTTTGTACACCTCTTGTTTATCTGTACTAAAGACTATCTCTCGCGCACCAAACGTGTTATTCCCATTCTCCTCTTCGCACGTCTCCTGCGTGGAAGTTAGCCGTTTGTTCGCCCTCCGGCCTCGATATTATTTCGATATCACGAGGCTAGCATTAAATATACTTCTTCCTCTAGAATCGCATTTTTTTATTCTCAGAGTATAGGGATTAACATTTATTATCCCGCGAAGTAGTATATTGTACGATTGGCTATAGTGTCATGATATCATACTTACCAGGCAAACTTGTGAGGGTTTATGTTTTGATAAAATTATGTGGTTAATCTGTTAGGTTTTGTGTCATACGTGAGTAATTATATTTCTCTTTGTACCTTTCCAAAGGTAGAAACATTATTTTAAATACCAGTGTGTCCATCCAGATCTCATTTTGCTTTATTATGCTCTATTGTTGATTTCTTTTACTTCTCATATAAATTGCAGTATCGGGTGGAGTGGCATAAACAGAACATCTATGAACTGTTGATTACTTTACAAAATCCTGCGTTAGGTTGTTACTGAAATATCTAGATGAAGATGAAATAAAATTGTAGTCTTATAATTCAGTTTACGGATTATAGTTGTGTATAGTGTACAAGCGAGTTTTCCATT